TTGACCTCAAGTGGTATTTCTCAATCCCCTTTAACTCAAGACCCATGGAATATTTTTTGGGAAAAAGGACCTTCCCGGACATTGCTACTGTAATACACAAGCAATAACATAATAATTGGAAAAATAAATAAAAATTAGGTAATTTTTTAAAATCTTTTTTGTTTATTTGTTTACTTGCTTAAGTTTGGAGATGTGTCCATGTACTGCAGTTACTTCATGTACAATTGCTTGAGAAACTTGTGTTTAAAGGACTGCGTTTTCTTTGCCAGTATCAACTGCTGATCTCTTGCATATTAATTTGTTAGATAGTATCAGTGGCTGCCACCCAACTTACCCTTTGATCCATAAGTAATTGTCAAATGCTGAAATATGCTGAGTGTGCTTGTCATCTTTCTTGAAAGTCACACCAGCAGAGTTGCTATAGGTGCTGGGAGTTATTTCCTGAAGGCAGGTGCTGAACGGCAAAGGCATAAGCAGCATTGTCCAAGGGCTTTCTTCCATAGGAGATTTGGATAAATGTGGAGGGGCATGGATTAGATGTGTACCTCCCTCCCTCAGGGAACTGGTAGAAAAGCATCAGTGAACCAGCACAGAGGCAGATGCTGAGATTAACGGCGCTTGGTGGGGCACAGTCCTGGCTGAAAGATCAGTTGCGAAGGGAATTTCTTGCCACACACACTGCATAACCCTGAATCCCCCTGTTCTCTTCATATTAGCATCTTGCAGTGCAAGTCCCCAGCATTCAGCTCTCCTTGGAAGCAAGAAGATAAAGCTTCCCTGAACAGGGAAGAAAGGCATGAGTCAGGCTTCTGGCCACTGCACTTTATACATGGCTAATTGTCACATTGCTACTTTAGCAAAACAGATGTCCTCTGTTAGCAGCTTAATGCAATTAGTGCAATACTTCAAAAGGTTGCTGTCCCTGCCACTGTGCTGGAAATTTAGGAGTGTGTGTGTGATGGAGGGTTATTAAGCTTCTGTATTACTGCTTGATTTTTTTTTTCTCTCCCCTTAAGATATATAAAATCAAATAGAGAAATGTCACCTAAATCTTTCTCCAAAGTATTTTTGGAGGCTTATTTAGGTTGCTAAGTCAACCTCTCAAACCTGAAATGTTATAGAAAATAGCCCTGCTTGAGAAAAAGCCTGTGAGGAATGATGGGGTAATTGAAGACTCTAAACTGCCAGTCACAATTTCAGGTTTGGTCAGAGTTCTCACGGTTACCAACCATCCTGACCTGCTGTAATGCCCATGTGGCTGCTTCTATCTCAGTCTTCCCTTGGTTTCTACCTCCTGTCGCTTGATTTGTTTGTCACACCGTAATTAAAGACTTTGGGGAGTTGTAAATACCTGACTGCAAAGGATTTACAATGGGAAGTGTAAGGCAAAGATAGGTAATGGGGTTGGTACACCTCCACTTACACTAATCTGGGATAATGTATTGCTATAAGTTGAGTGTAGTAATTAGAATACATTATTGATTGTGCTGATTCTGCCTTTCATGTTTTGCATTTAAATTCCTACCATGCAATTTTAGGGGTATTAATACTTGCCTGATTAGGAAGTCTGCTCTGTTACACATTTTAAATATAAATAATCCTGTAGTGCTGTGTAATTCCTTGCCTTTGTATGTAGGAATAGATATCTTTGCCTCGAAAGATCTAAAATGTAGTTAAATAATGATAAAGTGACCTGAGATACTTGACAGTGAACTGAAGAAGAGAAATCATTGCCTACTTTTAGTATGGTGCAAAGTACATTGGAGTTACAAGTCAGTGCTTAGACCTTGAGGGTTTTGTTTTGGTTTGATTTTTTTTAATGCTGGTTTAGAAGAATACACATTGTAAACTCCTCGATGTCCTTGTTTTGAACGTATGAATTGTTTAAAGACACAGACAGGGTGGGGGTGATATTGGTCTTGCAATCTTTTAGTCTTGCAGTCTTTATTCATCAGCTTGTTTGTTCACTGTTGTACATCACTGCAGTCTTCTCAGCCTTCCTTTGTCTCCAAGTCTTCTCCTATTTTAAAAGCTGCCTCTCATTTTGCAGCCACTGGTACATACACCCACATCCCTTTAAAACTGTGTTTCTTCTCCATGTGCTTGCTCCCTTCGAGCTTTCCCTTGCATATGGCTTTTCTGGAAGCTGTGAGTTTTGTATTGCTTTGTTGTTTGGGTCAGAGGGCCACCTTCCTGCCTGTGTTGTTCTGGGCACATATCTGCCAAGCTTACTGTCTGCAGTCAACCTGGTGAAGGACATGCCAAGAGTGAAATGCTCATCTGCAGCGTTCCCTGATGGGCAAATTGGATCTAACCACCCTAAGTCAAGATCTATCTCAAATATTATTGTCATTTTTTGTGCTGAAAAGATGCAGCTGTGTCAAGTGACTCCCTGGAGCTGGTGCTTTCAGTTGAGAATGATGCTCTCTGCAATATGTCTATTCTGAACACAAAGACAGATTGACGAGGTCATTTCAGACTGCTGGGACCTGAGCAGGAGGGGAATACCATCCTCAGAGCCAGCCTCTCATATTTGGGGCTATTTTGAGGTCAAGCTCTTTGTCCTGGAGGGTGCCCATTGTTCTGCTTCAGAGTTTGTCTGTCTCTGGTGTGTCTGGACACTCCTATGATCTCTTGGTCAGGCACACCAAGGTATGTGTCCTCCAAACCCTCTTTTTCTCCTTGACTCAATGAGATCGGCTATGGCACTTCTTAGTCCTTGGCCTGTGTGTGGCTGAGGCAGGTTTGGTGCCAAGGCTTCTGCAGCTCTCAGCGCAGAGCTCCAGGAGAGTTGCAATTAAAGAGTGAATGGCTGGGAAAATGTTGAAAGCTTGTACTGACCACAGGTAAAAATGATTTTTATTGACATAGGAATAGGGAAAAGCCAACAGGACGAGGAAAAAGCCAAAGGACAAGGAAAGGCTTCCTGATAGCTTTCATTAAAACTTGCTTTTCTTGCCCTCTGAGTCCACTTCTTTGGACTGCTCTTTACTTGGGTTACTATCTTTTAGGAAAGCTGAATTTTCTGCCAAAAATATAAACCCAGCAAATGTTGCTGATAGTGTGTCCAGAAGAGGAGGCATCAGACAGGAACAGATCCATGCCAACACAAGATCCCTCAGCCTGGTTTTGCTTCCAGTACAGCTTGTCCAGTGACATCAGGCACTGGTGTCTTCAGGCACAGGCACTTCACGCAGCGGGGTTTCAGACAGTTGGAAAATTCTGATAGCACTGAAAAAGGAAAGGTGATGGTAACTTCTGTTAGGATAAACTGCTGGCTGGCTCATTTGGCTTCATCCTGCTTCTGGCACTGGTGATTTGATTCCAGTTAAATCTGACCCATGTTCTGCAAGAGGTGAATTCATTTACTGGTGCCCAATACTACACCAAGTACTAAATGTCTAAAACTAAGCAATGGAATATTGACCAAACCAAAAATTTATGTAATTCAGCACTTCTTCTGACTTCAGCTGTCTGCACAAAACTAATTTTCTTCCATTTTTTCCAAAATTTTAAATTTAATATTTTGATTTGAAGAAACAAATTTTTCTGATTTTATATTTTGCTGATTTCAGCCTCATAGTGGGCAGTTTTACCTGACTTGCACTGGTTTTAGCAAAGCCGTGGAGCCTGCCTCAGCCTGCTTCCCACACATGCTGCCCATAATGCCTTGCTAGTTTTGCACAGGTAAGGCCATAAACCCCTACTTTTCCACGCTCTCTTCACTGTAGACTGCAAGCGTGTAGGCATCTACAACAGCTGCGATGTTTTGCCAGATGAAGGAGATGGATTGACATCACTGAGTCACATTACTTTCTTAATGTTGCCAGGTTTGCAAAATACTGCATTTATGTACACGTTGGAGGGCTGGGCAATTTCTTGTTCAGACTTGTACTTCATTTTTAGTGAAGACGCTTTCTCTTTGTAGTGCAAGATAGGATCCTCTGGTAATTGACACACATTCTTTCCCTCCTCTGTGTTTCAAAGTGGGTGTGAATCCATTCATTATCAGAGGACAGGTTTTCGATGTGTCCTGTAAACTTATTGATAACTAGTAATAACAGCCAGGATTCTGAAACTGATAAAAAAATGTAGAAAATAAACCAAGGCAAATGAAGCCTTCAATTGGGTTACATGCTAAAAAAATACAAAATAATGACAATTGGAATTTTATATTTAATTCATTTTTAAATATAGCAAATTTTAATATCCTGGGCTTTTTTATTATTTAATTGTAATGTGAGTTTTTAAGCATTATCTCCATGTCGTTAATCCTCACTTGATGAAACTGTTATTTTTTCTATTTACTGGGGAAAAAAAAAGTTTGAGCATTCAAGGCCAATTTTTCAGAAATTACATGTAACAATTTTGTCTTTTAATTGCATGCTTAGTCTGCAGCTACTGTTGTTTTTGCCTGTGTGAACTGTGTGTATTGGCTGGCAAATCTGAATTTACAACCACATTTAAAGGTAAGTTAAATAATGTTTGTGACTAAAGCACCTGGAAAATCTAACCTATTGTAACTGACATGCAAAACTCGTAATCTGAATTCAGTGATTCTGAGATGAATGACTATGTATGTTTTTAAAGTTTCCAAGGCAGATGAAACTGAGTTTGACTCATCTCATATCCAGTGGTCAACAAGGGCTCTCACCTGGTGGCATTCCCGTCCAGATCTCCCAAGACACACCAGCAGTTCCCTAACACACACTTCAGGACGAATACAAGGGATTCCACACTCTCATGCTGTGGCTTGCTGTAACCAGCTAGGTATGCTTTTGGTCAGGGATCAGCTTGATGAATCCCAGTATGGGAAATGTATGGGGTGCTGGAAAGGGGCATGCAGTGGTAAAGAGGGAGGGACAGAGGGAGGGAAAGGAACCGAGACTTTACAGAATTCTATCTGCAGAGACAACTGATGGAACAAGAAGGAAGACCACCTTTTCCAAGCTCCAGTATCTTTCTTTTTTATAGAGACAAGCTGATAATTCAGCTCTGAAATGCTGACAGTAAGTCAAGCTTTTGTAGTCCTGACCATTTTTTTGTTAACAACTGTTGAGTTTTTCAAACTGCAAAAGGCAGGCAAGCAATTCCCTCCTGGACCAACTCCTCTCTCACTGCTTGGAAACTTGCTGCATCTGAACTTTCAGTCTCATCGGGACCTTCTGATGGAGGTATTTCTTTTAAGATGCTCTTAATTGGTTCATTTTAGTCCCAGCTTAAACAAAACTGACATGTTAATAGCAAAGTGAAGTTTTTAAGTCTTAGAAAGTTACAGACAAGGTATGGACATATAAAGATCCACTTGATTCCTACCTTCAGGTCACATTCTTATATGGAATATGTCATCTTCATGAAAAACTTAATGTTCTTAAGAATCAAACTTGCAGACAGGGTTTCTGACTTGTTATTGAAGCCGGAGAATACCAATAATCCAAAAGATGCTTCATTGCTTATAAGTCCATATGTGTTACTTTTTAAAATTCTGACACACTGGTATTGTCAAATTTGATCATGAATTGGGCAATATGGTGCATGTGTATGTATGGTTGTAATACGGAAAGGGCCTACACTCCCCGTCTTCCAACGCCTCCTTAAAACTATTTGTTTGCCACTTGTTTTTAGAGGCAGCTGCTCCTCCCCAGGCCATCTCAGTCCCTCCCTGTACCCTGGCAGCAGTTCTTCCAATGGTTTGCAGATGACCTCTGGTTCAGATCTGTGCTTGAGACCGTATGCACAGATCATTGAGTCAGTGCAGACTCAGACAGGCAGTGATGCTGTAACAGGGAGAGGAAAGCCAGTATCTTAAAGATTATAAGGAGAAGCGAGTGACTAATGTGATCAATTGGATGTAATTCTGGTGGCACCTTAGACACTGCCACCTCTTTTGTATCATCGTGGGTGTGTTGGAGCAGGGTCCCATTCTTGGACAAAGTTTTTTCCACAATTAAATGAATATTCTCTGTCATACACATGTCCCTGCTGGAATAGCTCTGCTCTGAGAAGTTTCTGGCTCCACCTTGTCTCCCGGAGCACACAGATGGAGCAGGTTTAATCAGTTTGTTTTGTTTTGCAAAGGAAGGGCTAGCTGGAGGCATAGAGCCCCAGAGAGGTGCAGAGTGTGGCTGTTCAATTAACAAGGTACAAATGTTGAGGTTGGATGTGGTGTAATGTAAAATACAAAGTTTTCTTTCTTTTGCTGCAGTGTTGCTGCAACCCATGCTTTGAAAAGAAAACCACTTCCTAGGTAAATAAAATTGGCTGCTGAAAGCTTTGTTCTCATTAAAACAACAGTCTCTTTCTGCTTCTAGCTATAGTTATATTCATGGGGATAACGTTCTCAGCATAAAACTGGCCATTGGGCTGCTGAACAGCAGGTGCAGTGTCTGTTTGAGATATATGGGATTTCATCTGTTGTTTTCTGGCACCTTTTCCACTTACAACTCGCAAAAACTTACGGTAACGTATATACTTTGTGCTTCAGCTGGGCCCCAGTGATCATACTGAATGGATTTCAAGCAGTGAAGGATGGCATGACTACGCACCCTGAAGATGTTTCTGGGCGGATGGTGGCACCTTTCTTCAGAGCAATGGCCAAAGGAAAAGGTGAGATTTTCCTGCCATAAATAGCACACAGGAACGTTGACTTGGCAACGTGCTTTGCCTTGTTAGACCCTCTACCCTCCTGCCCAGAATGCTCTTCCATCAGATACTGTCCAAGTCCTCCTTTAGCTCTTGAGGATAACTTATTATTTACTGTGGTGCCTTTTGTACTGAGCTTTCCCAAACCTGGGAAATACTCCAGATTGGGTTGTTTCTAGGTGACCTTTTTGCTGTGTTCAAGATGTGTGTAATCCCAGCTCAGAACTTGGCAATCTTGCCCTCCTCACAGAATAATCTAACTTGCTGCACGTGATTTTGCTGTACATTACATGAATGCAAAGCTTGTTTATGTGTTTGGTAATGCTATATATTATGGTTGCCAAACACCTTCCATCATGAGCAAGAGACCTATAACACCCTCCTTCAGAAGTCTCATTGCTGTGTTTGCAGCCACTCTTAAACGTTTGGTGAATACCCTGATTGTGAAAGCACCTCCGACACAGGAAAACCCACTTCTCTCTAGTGTATTTCAGCAGTTTGCAGTCTTTTCTTTTTCCTCCCCTGCATTTGCCTACCAAAGCAAACACAGAATGTTTAAAGCTAGGTAAAGCATCACCATCACAGCAGCAGTTCAAGCTCTTCAGGTAACCACTAGTACGATTTAGCAATCATCAGTGGAGTGACCTCCCTTCCAGAGGAGAAACAGGGCCTGAATGTCACTTATCCTTCACCTTCATCACCTCAACCTACAAGCATCACATTAATTGATCTGTATCTCCATAAACATACTATGTCCCTGTACACCACTCTGTAGAAATTCATCCACTTATTCTTGTCTTGAGCATGATCACTTGAGTATGGCTAAAACAGATCTTCTAAAAAGGCATCTTAAAGTTTGTTTAAGACATCAAGAAATAGAGCAGTCAGCAAATCCTTAGATTGCTCTTTTCAAAGATTAACTACAGCCAATATTAAGAACATGTGGTCTAGTTATAGTTTGGGTATATTTGGTTATGATTTCTGGTTACTGATAATTTTGCCTAAAGATACTTGTATCACGGTGTATTCCCTGATTTACTACACATATTTTATAATATATTTTTAAATGAACCGTTCATGTCTATGGCAAATATTAATATGCCAGGGAATACCCGCAGGTATACTGACAAGTGGTCGCGCCTGGGAACAGCAGAGATGCTTTGGTATAATGACTCTACACAGTCTGGGAATGAGGGAAAGAAGTTTCGAGTGCAAGAGAAGGCCTCTCACCTGGTGGAGTTGTTTATGAACCTAAAAGGTATCTGCCCACTAAGAAATCAGACACTTTTCAGTCCTGGATCCATATCTTCAGTGTACAAACTTACCTACCCCTTTCTAGGGTCAGGGTAGGTCCAGGGTGGTGTAACCAAACTTACCAAAGCCCAAAAAGCAGATAAAGCATAGTATCACAAGTGGGAATTTCTTTCTTAAAAAGCTGTTCATTAACCTAATGACACTGGGAACTTCTGAAATTCCATCTCCATGGGCTTATTATTTGTCTATGATATGATTGTACAATGATACAACCTCACTGACCTGCACAGCCAAGTGATTCTCACACAGCCTACAATAGGTAACTAAAGAGTATTGCAGAGCTTAGTCATTTCTCTAAACCTCGAAATTTCAATGACATTAGGTGCCAGGAGGTAAACTGGATATTTTAGCATCTGTCTGGCTAAGTAACTACTGGCAAGAGAACCAAAGAAAGCAGGAGGTGGGAGTGAACTTCAGTGGATTATCAGGTTCATCCTAGAGTCCAAGCCAGGATCATTTCTATCCAAATCATTTTTGATGGATGTCTGCCTCATAATTTAAAAAAAATCATCAGACAGGGGTATGATGATCTGCTGTTCACAGCTGAGACTGTAATAATTTTATTATATATACTTTGCAGTTCCTATCCATCTATTCTGCCTCTTAAACCTTCCCAAGTTCCTTCAGTCCTTCCTCCTAAGTAGTTTTTTACATTTTTGAACAAATCTGTCACTGTCTTCTCTTAGTTCATCTCCAGCGACCTTCTTCCTTCTCATATTCTGACTTGTTTTCTTCCATACAACTGAGGACAGCAGATTTGATACAATATCCTCTAATGGATCTTAGTTGTACAACGATGTTTCACAGGAAGGGCTATGAGATCATTTTAGAGCTATGAGGAAACAGTTTAACAGTGTACTTTGCTCTAAGACTATGTTTTATTTTCATGAATACATATTAATGCCACATCTATCCCCATTCATGCCCCAGCTGGATATGGAGAACATTTTATGTAATCTCTAATAACATCTTGTCCTATTTGTATAAGGAACACCTGAAGAAAACATTGAGAGTGAATACCAGTTACTGTGTTTGCAGGAAGACCTGTGGATCCTTCTTTCCCTCTTTTCCATTCTGTTTCAAATGTAATTTGTACTCTGGTTTTTGGATATCACTTCTCTGATGGGGACAAAACCTTCCGGGAACTGATCAGTGCCACGGAGAATTTATTCAGCTTTGCAGGCAGCTTTGTTCAGCGGGTGAGTAAATAATATACTATTTTTTTTTCTGAGATAGATAGAAAATGAAAGCATGGATACGAAAATGGGTCTTCATTAAATACAGAGCAACTGGCAAATGCAAACCGGACGCTAAGAAGTGTCCTTGGGGACCTTATTACTGCCTCCTTGTTTTTGAGGCCATGTTTAAGAACTCTTGTTTCTTTGCAAGTTTAGGGAACATGTCTCTGTTGACTCCGGGTTTTAAGTCTTTCAGCATTTCTGAGACTGTAAACAGAAACCTTTAATCTTAATTTGAGACTGGAGTTTGTAATAAATTTGAACTCTGCAGGGCTGCTCCTCCCACCTCTATTTAAGTCTCTCCTCCAAAAATGAGTATCATTGAATTCACTGTTCTGCTTTTTACTACTCTGCAAATTGTATGCTGATAACTTTCTATTTTTTTTCTCCCTCACAAATAATAAACTATTCATTATGAATCTTTCTATTACTTCATTATAGCTCCCAATTCGTACATTACAAAAACAATACATACAGTCTCTGACAGTCTCACAATTCAAGTTCTGTCAGAGATTGTTTGGTAGCTACCCCCCACAACATACCATAAAGGCCAACTTTGCACTTGAAGTGTCTTGAAGTGCACTTGAAGTTTTCCCCATGAATTAGACTTTGTGGTTCAGACCCTTAAAAACGGACAAGCTGGGTGTAATGAGGACTGTAGATGGCATAGCAAATTCCATTGACATTTGACTTTTATAGGAAAAAGAAAACTAAAATGCTGATGTGGTAGTAAACCTTTTCAACAAATCTATCATCTGAGGGTAGCACTATACAATTTTCCCATAGTAAAAAATAGAAAAATAGATGAAATTTGTGGATGATCAAAGCCAGGAGACCTTAACAATACAGAGGAAGTTCAGGATATCCTGCTGCAAGAGCTCTTAAGCACTCTGGATTTGAGTTATAAGAATGGAACAAACTGTAACAGTACAAAATTAAATTATGAAACATATTAGGAATTAATGAGATTCATATCTGCTATGAGCTTAGAACATTTCAGTGCAAAGGTTAAGAGGAAGGGAACTGGTGTAAACTAGCAGATAACAGAATGAAAAAGGCAAACAGAATCTTAGAGTGTTTACAGCACTATTTTCCCTTTAGATCCAGAGAAGTGTTAAAGTAGATTCTGGTGTGTAATAATCTGTGTGACCTATTTTAGGACCTTGGACACCTTATGTTATGAGTCTGGAGTGAAACTTCTCTTGTTACATCCAAAAGAACAAAGAGAGGAAACAGAAATGCTGTTTGCTTGGCACAGTGGAATGGCAGATGCTGCAAAGAGAGAATTATCCAAGCTAGATGACAGTACTTTGAGCTGACAAATATGTGTATAAATACACTCAGCAGACTGAAGATGTAATATTTCTAACCATCAGAACAATTATTGGTCCTGTAGCAGTCATGAGGACTCTGACAGGGAAAAATAAATTAGCTCTTGGAGTGATACCCAGTCTACGTTTTCCTCCTGTGAGCTCCACAAATTCCACCAGTTACTTGAGGCTGCAGACTTGTTAATCTTAGTAGCCACACAGTATCCAGAAAGGATGTCCTTACATTTTGAGCGTGTGGGAGCTAGGGTCTCCAACTCTGCAAGAGTAAGGTCTTCTAGTGATCTGCATTAGTTAAGTAAACTTACTGGCATGAGCAGAGTGTCCTCAGTACTGCCTTGACCCCCAGAACTGTGTCAAAATTACTCATAAATTTTTCCCACATGATGGTAAACATCTACTCAAAGCAATGCTAATTTGTTTATTCCACTGTCAACATTTCCAGACAGGACAATTCAGCCTTTTGGTGTTTCTAAAAGCAGCTTTGTTACTGACAGGTAATTCACACTACCTCTTGTATGTCACTCCCGCAGCTGCACAAAATCATCCCCTGGTTGATGTGCCATCTCCTGGGTCCTCATAAGAAAGTATTACCTTGCTATGATGTCCTGAGCTCTTTTGCAAGGAAGGAGATCAGAAGACACGTAGAGAGAGGGATACCAGACGAACCGCAGGATTTCATTGACTTTTACCTGGCTGAGATAGAGAAAGTGTGTGTTTGTTGTGCCTGATCACACATTTATGGAGTATAAGGCCAATCAGACCATTAAATCATCTAGTCTGACCCCTTCTATCATAGTTTCTTATGTTTCATAGGCTTCTTAATGTGAATACAGTAGCTTGGGACTTATTAACTCATGTCTCCCAGAAAGGCATCCAGTTTTATGTTTTGATTATATGAATGAATTACTACAAAGTAAACAATGCCATAATAAGCTGTTAACCTTCTTCTCTGCCTAGGCTATTATTTTCTATAGCAGGAAGCGACTCATGAGCCAGAGAGGCTCTGCTAAGAGCACCAGAGTTTCTGCTTCTGGGATGCATTTGTGTCTCTCAAGCCTGAAAGGAGGTTTCCAATGCTGGGACCCAAATATCAACAAAAGAGTCCTACTAGAAGTGTTATTTAGTAGTAAAAGCGGTCACAACGCAGTTGTACCAACATCACTAATGCTGTTAACACCCACTGACAAGGCTGCAGGGCTGAGAACCAATAATTTCCAACTCAGAAAAGGATCACAAACTCCAATTTTCTAGGAAAATGGTCTTCTAACCACATTATACCTGCTCATGACAAAGAAATGGCAACAAGGAGGAGAAACTGATGGGTGGGAGGCTAGTAGTTGGAACTGAATCAACAATTTCTTCCTGGCAGGGCATTATCATTATACCAAATATAGCATCTGTTCTGTATGACCCTGAGCAATGGGAGATACCTCGACAGTTCAACCCTGGCCATTTTCTGGATAAAGAAGGAAACTTTATACCTCGAGAAGCCATTTTACCATTCCCAGCAGGTAAATGCACTGGCAGTTTGAACCAATCCAACAGATTAGATGAAGAATACACAAGTGTGAGACTATGGTATTTCTTAAGATAACACCATCTTCTATGTCTGCTGTTCGCTGCTTTTAAAGAACAGTACTGGCTTGTTTCTGCCAAGGGAGATGCTTCTGTGCTGTCAGACCCCAAACTGTTCTCAGGACACTGCAGTGGGAATCCCAGTCAAACTCCTGAACCTCCTAGGCTTCTTGCATGCTGCAGTCATCCACAGGTTTTGTCTGTAGTGTTCTTTATATGTACTTTTTTTTCCTGAGAAGCAACATGTCTTGTGTGTACTGGAGCTACTTGCAATTCCTGTTAAAGGAACAAGCTGAAAGAAAAGCAGAATGCATCCTAGTAAACAAAAGATTAAGTTCTTGCTTACAGAACTGAAAATCCAGTTGCAAAAGAAGGAAATAAGATAACCGTGCACAGTTAAGAGATCATACTTAGCAGTAAAGTTCCTACTGTTGTTTTTTGGTTTAGTTTCTTTGTTGATATAGCACACTAGTCACTTACATGTCCATCCAGGTATGGTTTCCTAATGCAAATGGCTTTTTCTTTCCTTTTATTTCTCTGCTGATCTGGAAATGTGAATGTATTATTCACCTGTTCTGCTCATGTCATTGGTTCCAATGAGGAACACCTGGAAATCAACAGCAGGCCTCTTGCTGTGCCTGTAGAGTGACCAAGCCTTTGTTCAACTGCAAATGCCACTGCTAAGTAATTTTGACCCACTGACTTTACCTCACTAAGAAAGTATGTGCAAACAGCTGGTGGATTCTTTATGTATGGCCCTGAAGCTCAACATCTCCTGTTAAAGGAAAATAATCTTCTGCCTGGTCAAGCAAGGTCAAGAAAGAAATGACAGTGGTACCTCAGGGGTTTTCACTGAGATTTTAATTTGGTGTCTCCTAACCTATGACATTGGATGGGATCTTTCTGAGAAAGAATTCACAAAGTTTTAATTCTGTGGCTTTCACGATCCTGGCCTTGAACAACAACAACAAAAACTCCTCTGCTTATAGTAAGAATGAGCAAAATGATTACGAAACTGAAAAATTCCTAGATACTCACTGTCCTTCCCTCTTCCTTCTGCAGGGCACCGTGTGTGTTTGGGGCAGCACCTAGCGAGGACCGAGCTCTTTATTTTCTTTGCCAACCTGCTGCGGGTGTTCACCTTCCGGCTCCCTAAGGGGGTGACAAAGGTCAACACAGAGCCTGTTTTGGGGGGTACGCTGCAGCCCCACCCGTACAGGGTTTGTGCCATTCCACGCTAGGCTGCAGCACATCACAGACCAGCATGAGACAGTCACCTTTACCTCTGTGAGTTTCCTCTCAAATGTATAAAACTTCTTCTACTAGCCAGGATATTGATATTAGTGTATCCCAGGGCTATTCAGAAAGCGGATGCAAGCCAAGATCCAGACTACTAGTACTTCTGATATGGTCTTTGTGAAAGTCCTAGATATTCTTGCAAGGATCTTAACCATTTTCTCCTCTTGGAGAGCACTTGAAGCAAGATGCTATGGTTCCTGGCTGAAGCCAACATGCTCTGCCTCCTTGTCCTAGCCAAGCAGAATCATCATGATGCTCCTTCCTGAGGAAACCTCAGTAAAATTCAACAGAGGATCTCAGCAAGAGCCAAGTAGGTGTCATTTCTATGAGTGGTTTGATGACCTCAAGTAATTTGGCTCACGAAAATGCAGTCTTAAAGCCCTACTTTGTTTTTACTGACCTGAAATTAGACATTTTAATTTGTTGACAGGTTGCCAAAAAAAACCCCAAAACCACAAAAACCCACCAAAAAACCCCCCAAAGCCAGCGAACATATTAGAATGTGGGTGCATTAATGTCTGAATTTGATGTAGGTATATCCTATGTAGAAGACAGAGAGTCAATCTAAAGTTGAAGAAGGAAACTTAAATTTGGTGTTTACCAGCGATGTGAATGTGTGGCTTGGCAGCCTGATCATTGTTTTAATGTATTGCCAAGGGGTTTGTTGGTTAGTTGTTTTTCGTGTTGTTGTTTTGTTTTTTGTTTTTTTTTTTAAATTAGGTTCCTATGATGTAGAATCATGCCCATTATCAATCCTGCTTGGATGAGACATAAATGTTGGATGAGATGCTCACTTTGCCTGTGGGTTTCACTGCTAACTTTGCAGCAGAGGAATGTAGAGACTTTGGAAGGCAGTGTCAAGGGGCTATTTGAACACTCTGATGTTCCCCATTTTCTCTGGGCCCCTTTTTTCTTTCTTTACAACCCATACCATACTTCCTGGTCTCCATTCAATCTCTTTCCAATCCCCTTTCCCCAGTTTCAGTTCCTACTCCCACCTACCCTTTATCCATTTAAATTCTGTTTCAGGATTTACCTTTCCTTTTGGTTTCCCACCACTTAAATCCTTTCATCATATCAAGCTTCTGTCTCCTTCTACTCTTTTCTGCACAAGTATTAGTAGAGGAATCAGTGCTGAGCTGAAACCAATGACCAGAGAGTTTTCAGGAGGGAGCTTAGAAAATCAGATTTATTTGTTCTTCCAGGCTCCAGACCATGAAAAGAGTAACACAGTAACTATGGAGGGTTCACTGGAGGTAGCAGTGTAAGAAAAGACATAAATGATGCCGTGATGCAGGAATTCTAAAATATCTATTACTTAATGTAGCTGTTCACTGGCACCAATTCAACTCAAGACTGAGACAGTTTAAGCATACAGCTGGAGGCGACAGCCAAGTTCAGCTGTAGCTTTGTTAAAGCAAAGTGCTGTAGTATTCTTGAATGCAAATCACTTTTGGAAAGGATTCAGATGTTGGAATTGAGTAGAGCTGTCTGTAAACACTGCCGTAAACTTAGGGTTGAATTTGTATGAGGACTAAAAGTGCTTTTATGTTGGAATATAAACTGTTTGTAATTAAATCATTGCGGTACATCTGAACTTCCTGAATTTAAAATGGAGGAGAATGTTACTAAAAAGAAGTGAGAACTACTGAGAATCAGGCTGAGCTGGACCAAATCCTGGCATGCCTTGTAGCTCTAGCAGTGGTCTGCTCCAGCACAACACGGTATATGCAGGCTTGCTGGGCTGGAAGGGAAATCAGGACAGTAAGGGGGTTTACAAAAGCAATAGCTGTCATAAATAATCCAGCCTGTCACACTACACAGCATATCAAATACTGTTCCAGGGTCTACACATTTCTGCTCAGCCTCCTTTCCAGCTTTATCTGTGCTTGTCCTCCACACCACCCTCCCACACCTGCTCCTCTCCGCTAACCCTGCTGGAGATGATGCCTCTCACTGCCTTTGCCCGCTCCTCTTGTCATCTTGCCACTCACTGAAGAAACTTAGTGATAAGATGTGTGTAAAACTGGTTGTGCTCAAGGGCTGGGACATTATGTCCATTCAGACTGCAGCTGTACTCAGAACTGTTGGTAGATAGCTTCCCCGTGACTGGGCAGGACTCAGGAGCGGCACAAGGTGGAAAGAACTAGTAATTTACTGCCCATTTCAGCCCCTCAGGGACCCTGTCCTTCAGACCCCTACCAGGCAATACAAAGAAGCACATTTGATTTCAAAGAGTCTACTAAAAACTTGGCTGAAGAGCCCTGCTCTCTCTTCGGGAGACTGAGTTTCCAGACAGTCTTGCACAATATTCAGTGATTCTGTGATTCTGTAGCAGTTTTGCTGTTCCCGAGCAGTGGAGCCAATGTGGTGTGTGTAGCCTCCTGTATGGATTAGTCCCTGCGGGTCAAGCAGCCAGAGCCTGTTTTCTGGGTTAGTGCCTTAGGTCTGGAAACCTATAGCACCAATTTACACCTATGTATTCCCATACAGATTTGAAGAGAGTTGCTGGTGGAAGGCAAAAGAAACTCAGGAAATCTGATAAAATTAACTTTGCTCCTCCTCCGGTCCCTTGGGAAGCTTGGGAGTGCTTCTGGGATGGGGAACAACTCTGTTTCCCTTCCCAGAGATGGTTCTCCCAGTACTTGTCCAGGGTTACAGACTTCCAGCTCCTGGACTGGCTGACCTCTGGCAGCCTTTGCAGGTTATGGGGAAAGAGCTGAAGTGATCCCAGGCCAAGTGCTGGTGAGGGATGACAGCACAGTCACCTCTGGCTGGCTCAACTGACTTCCCTAGTCCCTTGCCCACAGCCCTTCCCGTTCCCCTCCTGCCCCGCCAAGTGCTGCTTTCTCTCCTGACCATCATCTTGTCATCACTCAGCCGCCCACTGGTTGTAGCCCCCAGGCACGTGTCTGCATTACGCCATCACAGAGCTGCCAGATTAAAAGGTGTACACCCTGGTGCTAATGACCGGGGTGATGTAACATTAAAGTGGAGTGACTAACCCTCCACCCCATCTTTTTTTTTTTCTTTTTTTTATAACCACTATCAACGACAGCCTCAGGTCTCTGAGTTGTGGTGAACTGTCATCCTTAATAATATGGTTTGGAAGGGTTTGAAACCAGGTTGCAGGTGTTTATTCCAGGGAAAGATACAGAACTGGATGTATTACTTTTTAAAGCATTGCAATTCCTTCAGGGGAAAGTGAGTTCACATCACAGAACTGCAGAGGTGGCTGCTTTGTTTCATATTTGTGGGATAGCAGAAGCGTGTGAATCCAGAAAGCCTCAAATGTTTAATGTTGATGGATGTGAGAGGAGAGCGCTGCCTAGCATTATATGCTGTTCAACTCTGCTAAGGTTACAGTTAAGGACAATATTGTCAAGTTGTCTGATACCAGAATCCTCTGCTAATTTTTCTCTTGTGCTTTTCTTTCTGTTTCATGGTAGGGCTTTCCTGGGTAGCAATATTAATGCCACAACCATATGGCAAGCCATGTGCCAAACTCCAGGGAAACTATTTACCATGGCAAAAGGAAAAAGCAGAAACTAGAGACAAAGAGAGCCTTGTGCAAAAGTTTGGTGCATTTTGCATCCATCCAAAGGTTAAAAGCAAGAGTTGACGTTTTTCCCCTTCTGTTCAAACAAGTTGTTTGGGAAACTGGTTTGTGTCAAAGGTTTGGGCTAAATTGTCCCTGTCGATGCTCCAGTGTATGAAACAGAGAATCAATGCCGTGTAGTGGGGGAACCTGATGTTTATGGGATTAAATTTTGAAAAAATATTGTCCATTGTACCAGCATAGCACTTTTGAGGAAACTATTTCTGTACTTTTGAGGAGGTCTAAAAAACCCTGAAAGACAGGAGGCAACAGAAAAGGAAATGTAAGGAAACGTTCACTGTCTCTCCAATGGAAGGGCTGGCAGGTGTCAAATGCAACAAAAAGGGAGATCGCTCAAAAGTACCAGAGGGGTTTGCACTGCACGTGCCATGTTGGTAAGCTATGCCTCATCACAGGACTTGTACTAAACATTTATTTCTGTTCAGAAAGCAATTGTATA